GAAGCGCTAGTTTAATAATCCTCAGTTTGTGATTCGTAGATTTATTTTCGCTGATCAGTTTTATTTCCTTCCTTACAAAACGCATCGAAGGTGGTGACATGAAGTATGAAATCAATGTTGTTTTCGTGTGTGGGGAGGGGTAAGGCTATATTTCTGCTGGCGACATTTGCACTTAGTGCAATACGACGTAAGTTTTTCTTTTCGTGTATATATTTGATGCGCTTTTGTATCATTGTCCTTTTTTTTTTTTCCTTACTATGTATATTATTGTTATCGTTAAACAAAATCATTGACATAACTAGGAAGCTCTCACGTTTTTGCTTTCTCATCTTTAAATTCTACCTTTTTTTTGGCCAAAAAATTAGAAAATCTCACCTCGCTAGTTTCTTTAAAAGTGTATCCTATACTGTAGCAAATATGAATTCCAACCGAAACGAGTATTTATTCAGACATTGAATATAGAAACTGGAGTCTTGGTATCAACCCAGAGATTGTATATATCTTGTAATTAAGTTCTGACTTTTTTCCTGATACAAGGTATCCATCCACTATTAGTATAAATATTCAAACTTTCTATCAAATATGCTGCAATCCGCTTAGGTTCATTTCTCGCTATTCATCCCCTGATAAATAGCTAGTAAAATTAGTAGCCTGAAGAAGTGTGATTGTAAGAAAGATTAAATAATAACTTGAGCCAGTCTTGTTCAGTGTTAAGTGTTTAACGTCAAGGAGATTTGTGCCGAAGCAATTAGATTCAGGCCTCACCATCTTCAATTAACACGCGAAAGAAATCTCGAGCTCTTTTAATTTATCGGTTTACCGGCGTAATAACCCACGCAGGATGTTGGAGAGCACGAGAAAAGATTATAGATGCACTCGCCTCTGGCTCGTGATTAACAAACTGTTCTTGTGCTCTCCCAATATCCCGCGTGGGTTATTATGCCGGAAAACCGATAGAACGCGCAGTCTATTACTTTTATTAACTGAATAAACTACAAAAAATTTAAGTGTTTACCGGTGCAATAAATGGTCGGGTTTCGACCAATCCGAGCTCTGGTAGTATATCAGTTATTTCATATGATCTAATAGTCAATTATAAGTCAATTAAAACACAAATTTTTCGTCTGTAATTTTCACTGATGTTTTTTAAACTCGTGCTTTCTGCAACCCACTTAGAGTGGCTAACAGCTTATTTTCCTTACAGTATCACGGGTGAATCAAATGTTAAGGTCATGAGAATAACAGAAATGATCATAACTAAAGGAGCTCGATCTTAACTGTAACCAAATTCTCCATGTCAGCACCATAGGAAACAGCATAGAGGACATGCGCACTGATGTTAGGGCGTTAAGGATTGAGCGCCAGAATCTCTCAGTTGGAATTCATCGAGATACGTTTGGCAACAATTTGAATCGATTAAGCTCAGTAAGATTGGATCAATATTTTGTTATTGGAGAAGGGTGTAAGCTCCCAAAAGGAAGCTACTTTTCTGATCCGGGTGCACATCTCTTTTTCCCACCATAAGGAAGGTGCACATTTTAAATGATGAATTCCAGACATTCTTGATAAAGTTGTTTATCAATTTCTTCTTCGTTGGGGTCGCGCCTATTGTATAGCAAGCTTTAAGAGCTTCCAAAGTCCACTGCATCCATTGATTTATTAGCTTTTTTGATATGCTTTAGTGGTTTTTTGTTGCGTAACCAAAAGGGTTACTTGAGTATATTCGATCAAGCACTTCGAGAAGAACTCGAAATCTGAGACGAATTTCGTTTCAAAAGGGAAGAAAGCAAATGAAACTCAAATAAACTGTTTAAATATGCGCTCATGCAGCTTGATTTTCGTTATATTTCCTATTTATTAAGTATTTTTCTTAGCCATATGATTTGCGGATGCCAATTGTCTGTATGATGATTTAGCATGAGGTAGCCTGTTTTGCTGTATCACGTGATCATATCGAGTGTTGCATCACGTGATTTATCAGACAGGAGTCAAGGGCATTCGCAAGTTGACGCACTTTGATCATGACATCAGCACAGTAGATTTGTATTTTACCTCCAGCGACCGATGTTTGGCCCTGCGCTATGTTTAATGCCGTTTTTGTATTGCACTGATAAGCTGACGTCAGAAAGTTTGATAGCTCTTTTGAACTAATAACACATATGATATCAGGTATGCTGTTGTAGGCTCTCTCTATAAGCCCCTTCCACTCTTAAGAAATGTTTAACAATTATACGCCGAAAGCGATTAATTGCATAAGTATAATGATCTTCCGAGTGTATGTTGTTAATTCTGTAAATAAAAAGAGCATTGCGCATTTTTTGTTGCAATTGCATTGATTACTTGTATCAAAATATGTAAAAAGGTTCACTATATTCAATCAGCAAAAACTTCATATCTTCCTTGTAAAAAATGCTTCGCCAGACTCAGTAGCATCTTTTGTGCTCGACGCAATTGAATTTTTCTTTTATCGCGTTCATCACTTTAGCGGAAATATTGACAAAACGCGAGGCAGTCATTTTGAAATTCAGCGCCCCTGCTATAATTATCTCGTGCGAGGCGATTATAGCCAGGTATGACTGAATCCTCAACCAATCAGGGCGTGTGCATCTCTATAATCACCGCAGCAATTATACTAAATATATATATTTACCTGCCTGTGTAATCAGATATTGATATTTGAAGGAGAAACTGCTCGGTGGTCATCTTTAGGAGTGGAGTACTTCAGCATTTCTTGATTATATTACGGTTGAAACTAAAAAAGCGGCTGCATGCTTCAAGACGGCGGGTGGATCCCCTGGAGCTTGGTAATAGGGTAGGGTGATCCCCCTCCTTTCCCCACCCCCGTGTCTGGTATGATATATATATATGTTCCTATCTAATCAAGGTAGGCATCCGGTTTTTGGGTGAACCTTTAAGACATAATGAAAAAGCTAATAATTTGATAGTATGAGGGGAAATAACTTTGCTATGTTTGTCGCTTATTTTTATGCACATGGAAGCGCTTTTTAAAGTCTGTGACGACTGTCAGAAAACCGAAATATTTCACTTTTTAATTCAAATATACATGTAGTGTATTACCGTGTACACAAAGGTCTTTCAAAGCTGTAATTTTGCCCTCGATGACTGCTTTGTAACGCCATCTGAAACTGATTTAAAGTACCGGCGAAATCGCAAATATGAACAAAAATCTGTGTCTCCGGCCAAAAATGATCCGATTTCTTTCGTGTGCTCAAACGTCAGGTAAGAATATAACTTTTATCCTCTACTTTCCGTTCTGAAATTGTCTCGATGATAAGAATATAATTATATAGTTCTGGCAGAACTGTATAATGGCAAAATCCATGAGAAGCCAAAGCATATGATTGCAGCTGTACAAAATTCTTATCGACTAAGCGAGGACCTCGATCGTTCTGTTATGATTTTTCGTAACACGTTGTACTTCAGCTAACAGACTTTATCGCTAAAAGAAGAATCTGGGTCGAAGTAGAAATATTCCTTATTAATATCGCTCCTTCAAACTGATTCTTCAAAGTAAATTTTTCATCGGGTTTGTACTCGCGGAAATAAAACCCTTCCTATCTTGGTATCTGAAAAATAATTACGCTTTCAGTTACAAAGGACATTTATACCAGCGTCAAATTTTATGTGCGCGCTCTACTTGATAATCTTTCAAAATTCTTTTGCGTTATGTGCAGTCACGGTTGTTTCAGCCGAAAAACTAATTCTTTCACTCTAAGAGTGACCATTAAAGCCTTTCTCTTTACAAAATCAATACATTTAAAAAATAGAGGAAAAAAGTATCAACTGACCGTCACTTTTCAATTGAACACCTAATGGTCTGCGCTAAAATTGAAATTCATATTTTGGCTTCAAAGCCTTTAAAACCAGCACCTGTGTGCGGATCACTCTTTAATCCAGAGCTTTTTATAGGTAAATATTATTCAAGCTCGCAAGACTACTGAGAATTTGAAAACTTTTCTTTTAACATACGTGCATGCCCACATGTCCATAGTCTGACGTCATCAAACATGAGGTCTTCCTTCATTTTGAAAAAAACTCTGCTGATTTTAATTTCCATGTGCTGTGCATAGCAAATTAAATTTTTCGATGAAACCTGACAAAAAAGAAATTAAAAAATTGTGGAATCAGCCATATTGTTTTCTTGCTCATCAATATAAATGGGACATCGGCGTCCGTAAATTTTCTGTTCCTACATTGAACCTTTATTCAAAGCTTGACGATCATTGCATCAAGGGGAAGTTAACTGAAATTTCCAAATCTCAAATTCAAGATTGAGGATATCCTTTTTAGCTTGTTCAAATCCTCCGTTGCCACCTGTCCGGCGAACCCAGAAATTAAACAATTTCCATTCTGAAGAGCGTGCTCAAAATTCACTCCTTTCTTATTAACAATATTGTGTTGTCTATTCTTTTCGGTATTTTTCATTGATAACTAGGCGAAAGGATATAATTATCTCCTTTAAAAGAATTCTTATGATCCTAGGTTTATTATTGTGCTGTACACTTTTCCTTTTTTTTTAAATGACGCACGGATTGTTCGATATTGTTCTTTTGCCTAAAAAATTGTTTCCATTTGAGAAGAATAGCCTGATCGAGATTATTTGAAAGAATAAGAAGAAAGTTGAATTTTCATCCTATAATCAGAGCTCGAAATAGCGGAAACATTTAGTTTCAACACGTGCTTCAAATATGCTTCAGATCATTAGCTTCACGTGCGTCATTCTAGCACACAGCAGACACCACACACTCGACCGAAATTAAAAAAAAAAAAAAAAAACTTTTTGGCGTCAACGACGAGTACGAGATACGTAAATTAAATAAATATATTGAACGTAGATTCTGTAGTTTAATTTATTTTTACCTCCCAAAGAGTTCATGAGTGCCTTATCAACATTTTCAGGACGTGTACTTTTACGTCAAGATGATATAGGGAAGTTTTTTTTTAGGAGGAGGGAAGTGATTTTTTCCTTTTTCCACATCGGCGCTTTTGTCCGATTGGTCGCCTCGACTCCACGCCGCTATGTAGGCCATTTGCTACTATCATAACATGGCGGCTTCGGAAGGCGATCATCGCGTACACAAGTCTCCGGCTGCTGCGCAAAGACCACCTCATCTCAAGGCACTAGAGGTTTTTTCACTCGTGTTTGGCATATTTTTCGATGCCTTGTGACATGTATCGTTGACAGTTGGTGCGTTTTTCGCTTTAGGGTTTAACCTTCTCTGAAAGCATGTCGAGGCGACCCCCTCGCCTTCGAAGGCGTTCAATTTCGGTGTCTTCCACAGACAGTTATGGAAGCTCAGGTGAAGCGAGCATGTATTCTTCTCTTTTTTAATGATTTTTTGGCGCATTCTGATTCTTCTCTCTTTCGTCTGAGAAATCTATACTTCGTGATTTCTCGTACAAGAGGGTGTATTTCTTAACAGTTCATTCGTCTTCGTGCTTTGGGATGTGATCAGCCGCTCTTTATTTAAATTTCAAATTGTAATCGTATTGATACAGTACTAAAAATCTTTATCTTACAGAAGTTGTGATTTTTCCTCTTAACTCTACTATACATTACAAGTTGAATCTTAAGCAATTTTATTTTTTTATAACTTATGCCTACGGCTTATCTGCAAGCAGCAGTTCATGTCATTAAAACTACAATATTCGCCTTCTTGCAGCTAGCTACTCGGACAGCTATTCATCAGATGAAGACGATGTATCTCCTAGGGAAAGATCTCAGGTATGTTCTTGAAATTTATAACAAAAGAACTTTATTTACAAACTCTTTGCCTGTTTCTTCGCCTTCAATTTCCACTGCTAATAGCCTGAATGCTAGCTAATAACATATGCATAAAAAACTTTGTTCAGAGTTGAATAGGCAGAGCTTACCGGGTGTTTTGATTCGATTGATCGAATGTTGGATCGACAGTGTAGGGAGTTCTTAGCTTATGTGTAATTTTTTGTGAAGATTTACTTCGCATGAAAATCAGCATAAGCAGTGTGCGGCAATTAAGACTGAAAGCAGCGAGCGTAAATTTAACTAAAAAAATAAATATATAAATGAACTCCAACCACCCGGTCGATCGATAGCTAGAATAAAAAATAAAAAATAAATAATAAAAAAATCGGCGGGAGTCTCCCGTAGATAGAAACAGTACAAATTACTTGTCTTAGTTTCTGTGGTTTTAAACCAAAACACTTTCGTTGAGGAAAATATATCCAGACGATATGGACCTTGCAATTTGTTCAAAGACTCGTAAAGTTAGTGAAGTGCAACCGATTAGCCAAACATGACGTCATATGCTTACGTAATGAGCGTTCTTTAAACGAATCGACCGGTTTCCAAACAAAATTTCAATATTTTTAAACCTTTTTGGACCATCGGATTGTTATTTCTTTTATTGATAGTGTTTGTTTTTGAAGGTTGTATGCGTAGATGCAATGAAAGCAGTACTATGTGACTCAGCTTAACTATATTGGCTTTTGTAGAGTGTATGATAATATAGCCAGCATCTATTGGAATTTGGTTCTGTATTCATTTGTTAATTGTGTAGAGATTGGCTGTTTGTTTCAAAGATATTTTCTTCTATAGCATTTGACTTAAAATGGGCTTAGAGGTTTTCTTCCACTGAAGCACATCTGCATTTTAGAATTATTGTAAACCACAGATGTACATGGAGAAATTTCATGGTTGGCTGTACAAACAAAATAAATACTAGTATTTATTTTTTGGGCTGCAACACATTTTAAGAGCAGTTTCTAAATTATCGCAATATACAAATATAGTCAGCTTTTACCAACCCAAAATAGTTTTGAGGCAACTTAAAATATACTTGTTCATATAAATATAGCACAGAACTGTGAAAATGAGAACAAATCTTGTTGTCAATTATTAAGGATTACTCCCTAATCCTTAGCCAGGTGAAACATACTGGATGGGAACTGTTTCTCATTGTACAGTCAAGTTTCTTTTCTTTAAAATTCCCCCTAGTTAATGAGCATCTCATTTCTTACGTTGAATCTAAGTTTGCTCTTGCAAAATAAGTAAGACATACCTAGAAAAAAAATTGCACTTAAAACATTTTGTTCTTAAGGAGGAGATTCAAGTAATAGAATTGCAGACTAACATTTCAGACCACGAAAAGGTTTAATTTTTTTAAGCAAAAAATTGACCAGTATTGATGCAAGAATCAAATCTGAGCCTCAGTGCAGTGGAAAATATTTTTAATCATCACAATTTTGTAGATAAATGAAATGGTTAATTGTTTGTCTCTATTAATTTTGTTTGCGCTGTTGCTTTATTGCTGTGCTTCTAAGCCACCTTTCTTCATACTTTTATTTTGTTTTCATCGTTATGTCCTTGTTATGATACCATTTTATTTCTTCAGTTTATTTCATTTTGCTTTGGACATTTCTGCTAACTTTTCTCTTATTAAATGTAAACTGTTACAAGTACGTGCATCTTTCACAGACATGTTCACAGAGGAAAAATAATGTAACAGCTTGTTTCATATTATCTCTATTGTTGCTAGGGTCACCTGTACCAAACTGCCAACTTCAATTGTAGTAAACAAGCCATGAATTCCATTTAGACCTTTTGTTTTTTTTCTTTGATCCAAAGTAGTGAGTGACAAAATTGTGTGCATCTGGAATCATTGTTCATTTCTCATATTGTGACTGTTCAATTTATTTCACCTGTGAACTCCCAAGAATTGAATAGTAATTCTCTTCACCAATGGCCATACATTACCTTTTCGAGAAGACATGAGAATTTGGTGTTGTATCAAGATGAAACCCTTCAGCTGTAAAGTTTGCTTTTTCTCATCTCTTGTTTCCAGTTGATTATCTCAAAATTGCAAGGGGAAAATTCATGTTGATCTTTTCAGATAGTTAACCCTTTATCTTTCATGAGTGAACAAGTCAGAATTTCTCCTTACCATATCAATACATTATCAAGTCGACAACTGATGGGAATGAAGAAAAATTTCAATTAGGGGATTATAAGGTGATCTAATACCTAAGTCTCTGGACCAACATGTAAACAATTGTATGGCAGACTCTAAGGAGAATTACTGATAAGATCTTGGGAGTGATAGGGGTTAGTGACTCTAGTAACAGTTGAAGCAATATAGAGGCTAGAGTATGATACATCCATTTTCTATGTGCAGAAAAACAGCAGCGGTGGATCTGATTTTTGTGTTAAGAATATTAAGCTGGCTGACTTTGGTCGCAGGGAAATTGAAATCGCTGAACAAGGCAAGCAGAAATTTATGTTGTGATAGAGGGACTTGTTCACTGTCTTTTAATACTCCAACCCAATCCAGTATACCCTTTAATAACTTAATATGTAACATATTGTTTATTCTAGTACTGAAGTCTGCCTTTATTGAAATGGCTGTTTTCCCACATGTGCATTAAGTAATGAATATTACACTGTCTCAATTTACCAGCACAAGAGGATTTTCTTCAATTTGACATAATCTTCATTTTAAGCTTTTTCTTTTTGTTCAGTGTTAGATTTTAAGATCCTACAGAACTTAAACATGTGAAAGTTACCTGTCAGATTTTAATTTGATTTGGATCCTCAATCTAAAAATCATCTGAAATTTGAAAGAGAGGTTCCTGAAATATTTTTTATTGAAACAGATCTTATCTGTAAAGAAGAAAATCCCATTTAATATATTTGAAGTTAAACAGAACTTGGTACAAATTTTGGTCAAAGTGCCTATGATGGTGAAAATAAAGAAGTATACCATTTCTTTCACAAGAAATTTTTTTTCTTTTTCTCGTTAGGACTGTTATATTTTTGATTTGAAACACAATTAAGGGGGTCCATTTAAAATGGTTCATGTCCAGCAATACATTCAAGTCTATTATGAAAAAAATTATTAACCTTATTTAGAGTGATCACAAGTAAATAAGTTGAATATTCACCTGTGTTATACTTATTTCTCAAACAGAAATGCCAGGTCTTATGCTCCTGAGAAAACGGAATTGCACAGACAAGCCACTAGATGGAGCTAAAATTGTTGGTTGCACACATGTAACTGCGCAGGCCGCAGTAAGTAAACAACTTTTGATGACTTTTCCCATGGAGATTTGCAGAATTTCATAGTTAAATTTACAAAATCAACCTGTTGGAATTAGGTTTTGTGTTATATGATGTTTCATTTTGAAGCTAAGTGATTTTCAATCTTTTTTAAGTCTAAGAGTTGATAATAGTTTGAAGAAAGTTTTTTTTAAAAAATTATATTTTTCTATGCAGTGAAGACCTTTGGAACTACTTTTGTAAAGTTCAGCATTTAAGTGACTTGAGGAAATAAAATCTCCAAGGATTGTGGATAGATAATTAGTTGCCAACTTCCTGGTTTTATATGTAAATACATTCTTTACAATTAAATGTATTAATGCTATTTCATATTTGTAACAATTCAGGTTTTGATAGAAACCCTGACTGCCCTTGGTGCCCAGGTTCGCTGGTGTGCATGCAACATTTACTCCACACAGGTTAGTTTGAAAAGTGTAAAATTGTAACCCTCTAACTCCCAGAAGTGATTAACATGAAATGTCTTCCTATGATATCCCAATATTATCCCACAAACAGGCAATTATAATACTCAAACTTATCAGGTAGAAGTTGTTATCTTGATTTAACACCAAATTCCCATAACTATTTTACAAGGGAATGTATAGCAGCTAGAAGGGAGAATTGACAGTTAGATCAGGGAGTGAATGGGTTAAATTATTTACTCTCATAGTTCTGTCACAAGAGTTTCTTTAGAAGAATATGCTTGATTGGTTTTAACTTGTATACTGTCTGTAGGTTGGTGAGTTTTTCTCATGTCATTGAATTGATTTTTTAATTTTCAACAGAATGAGGTTGCTGCAGCCTTGGCTGAAGCAGGTTAGCTGGTTATCTTGCTCATTAACTTCTGGATATTTGCTCTAAAATCTGTGAAGTACATGCAATGTCTTTACTTCCTTGCCTGAAGTAAATTTTTCATTGTGTGGTTTACTAGGTTATGCCATCTTTGCCTGGAAGGGAGAATCTGAGGAAGATTTTTGGTGGTGCATCGAGCAGTGTATCACGGCAGACAAATGGCAACCAAACATGGTACTGGATGATGGCGGTGATGCAACTCATCTTTTGTACAAGAAATTCAATGGCACTTTTAACACCCTGCGTGGAGTAGTGGAAGAGAGTGTTACTGGGGTTCACAGGTTAGATTTGATGATTAACCTCTTACCTTTAACCTTTCACCCTTAACACTTTAACTCCCAGGATCTAATTTTTAATTCTCCCCTCTAGCTGCTACACATTTCCTAGTAAATTAGTGAGGGGAATTTGGTGTTAGATCAAGATGACGACTTTGACCTGATAATATTGAGTATTCTCATTACCCTTTTGTGAATAATGTATGGAAAATATAGGGAGAAGGTACATGTTAATCACCACTGGGAGTTAAAGGGTTAACCCTTAACACCCTAACATTTGTTTTAATTCATTGAAGGTTGTACCAGCTTTCTAAGCAAGGAAAACTAACAGTGGCGGCAATGAATGTTAATGACTCAGTCACCAAAGTAAGTGTTGTTGTAACTTCAGACTTGAATACAAATTGACAAAAAGTATCTCCAAGTGGCATTGTTAGATAAAAATTGTGAAGAGGACTGACTCAAAGACCTTGATAAATTTTGTATTTGTAGACGAAGTTTGACAACATGTACTGCTGTAGAGAATCAATCTTAGATAGGTAAGTATATTGTTTAGAAATATTTACAGGAATTTCACACATATATTGTGTTTGCACCATTCTTCATTGTGATAGCTGACATGCAAAAAAAAAAACTTTAAAAATATTTTTGAGTAGCATTTTACCTCTCACTTTTAAATTTCCACCTTACTAATGGAGAGTTTCTAAGAGATATATTTTGATTAATTATGATTTAAAATGCGTAACAGTTAACATTTTTCAACTTTTAGCTTTTAGCTTTATAGATTTTATTTTTTCTTCATCTTGTTATTTTCTATTATAATTTATTTATTTATATTTTGCAACTTTTATTCTCCTTACTGTTATTATGATTGTAATTGTTATTTTTGGTATACAGGACCTCGTTGTAAACCATATATGTGAAATTTTTTAAGAAGAGACTATGGTTTTATTTCTCCAGGAAACCAAGAAGTTGGAATTAATTTTCTTTCTTTTGTAGTTTAAAGAGAACCACAGATGTAATGTTTGGTGGCAAACAGGTTCTTGTGTGTGGATATGGTGAGGTAAATGATAAGTTGAGCTTTGCTTAAACCCATAGGCCACCAAGAGTGACTAGTATTGGATTTTTCCTTACAATATCCCCCCTGAATTACACATTGAGGTCACAAGACTAAAGAAATGATCACAAACTCAAGAAGCTCTTAATTGTTAAACAGTTTCTCTATCAGCACCTTAGGAAATGTGTGAAGAATCGTATCAAGAATAGGCATACTGCTGTTAGGGTTGATATGAATTTACTTTTAAAAGTGATACATTGTGATGGTAACTGACTGATCTTTTTGTTTTACCAGGTTGGTAAGGGTTGCTGCTCAGCTCTCAAAGGTCTTGGTGCTGTAGTGTATGTTGCAGAAATTGATCCCATCTGTGGTCTGCAAGCGTGGTAGGTTCATCTCTCTCATCCTCAGTTTGCCATGCACATCTGGCTGTACATGCATTAATGATTTCAAGAGACCTTTATTGAAAGCCTGGCAGAGATTGAAACAAGTGTTAGGTCTTGGTTCTGTAGTGTATGTTGTAGAAATTGAACTTGGTAATGGGCCTTGCTCACCATAGAGTCTCTGTGGCTCAGTGGTAGAGCATTGAAGCACTGAATCCAAAGGTCTGAGGTTCCATTCCTCATGGGGGCTCAAAATATTTGCTTTGTCCCATGCTTGTGACAAGACAAAAATCATCTTTTTCCAAGTTTTAAATACTTGATTTTTAAAATTACTTTTCTTCTTTTAATATTTTGTTTAGCATGGATGGATTCCGAGTTGTCAAGATTGACATGGTGGTGAAGAATATTGACATCCTTATCACTTGCACAGGTATCTGATGGGAAAAGCCTGAACATTTTAAATTTTTGAATGTCTAGGTTGATATGTGATATCATAATCAGGCTCAAAATTGAAAACAATGTCTTACTTTCTCTTTGGGGCCCAAGTGGCCAGAAATGTTTGCTAGAATTAAATTTTCAATCGCCATTTCATAAACTGCAACTGTAAGTATCACAAATTTGGCTCAGCTACAATGTATGACATATCAAACAAATACTTGAAATCTGTGCTGGGCTTAAAAAAGAGGAACAGCTATCCTGTACGCAGAATGTATGTTTAAAATGGAGGGGTTTAATGTCAACAAACTTTGCTTATCCAAGTTTTCTCTTTGCATTGTTTTCCATCTCATGACAGGCAACAAGCATGTTGTTACAAGAGATCATCTGGACAGAATGAAGAATGGCTGTATTGTTTGCAACATGGGGCATTCAAATACAGAAATTGATGTGGTAAGATGAACTGATTGACTAACTAACGTTTGCAAGATACTAAGAAAAATAATAAACAAGGTTCTGAGCTCAACTTTGTCAAACTCCCCATTTAGCAACCTTGTGATTGTCAGCTTTTACAATGATGCACTCTGCTTTTTGTCACGACTCTAAGGAACAATAGGGATTTGGTGCCTATCAGTGTCAAACTGGAAGATATCTCATTGTGCAAACTCACAGCATGGCTTGGCTCCTGTAAGAGCTATGTAGTAATACTTTTCTGGCTTGGTTTTCAGGCTAGCTTAAGAACTTCTGATCTGACGTGGGAGAAGGTCAGAACCCAAGTAGATCATATTATCTGGCCGGATGGCAAGAGAATTGTGTTGCTGGCAGAGGTATTGTAACTAACTGTCTTTTTTTCATTTTCTTTTTTAATTCTTCCCTCCCTCTCTTTGCTGAAATTAATAATCATGAAGGTTTCATTTCACATTACTTGAAAATCGATAAAAGAAAAAAACCTTGAGGTGATGGAAATAGGAAATGACTTTAACCCTTTGACTTCTAAGTGTGACTAACATCTAATTTCTCCCCACTTCTGAATCACTCTTAAAGATGACGAGAATGAAAAAAATTATCACTAGCCAAAGAAGCCCTTGATTGTTAAACAAATTCTCCTTCTCAAGACTTAAGGAATGTATAAAAAACAGCATAGAGAAGATACATACTTATGTTAGGGCAGGGCGTGAAATTGCGCCTAATACAGGCGCCAATGCGACTAAATTCTTCACTTTGGTGACCAAATCCTGAAAGTTAGTTGCCAAATTGGCGACTAGAACGTTTCATCATAACCTTACCAAGAGATATAGTGAATTAAAAAGATTTGCAAGGATAAATCTGCGGCAATCTTCCTCGTTAAGTTTGTTTCCAAAACGTAGCACATGCATCTCGATCGATAACTAGACGCCATCTTGGATTTAGATGAGCCTGAACGTTGTATATCATCCATCCTAGTGTCCACTTTGCAGCACGTTAAATTAATTTTGGAGGGTCTATCTAGAACGCTGACAGCATAAAGAAAGATTTTGTTTGTCTTTGAAAATGGCGACCAACTTTTTTTGAATTGGCTACCACTTTGAAGAATTTAGGAGCCAAGTGGCTATCAGAAAAAAAAGTTAATTTCACGCCCCGTAGGGTGTAAAGTGTTACATGCAGTAACTAGTAATGTTTTTATAGATGTAACTATTTTCTTTAAATTTTCTTGTGGCCTCAGCACTCCTTACCTCAATCTGAAACACATTTATTAATTAACATATTGTACATGACCATCAGGTGACCAATCTTCTCTCAGTTATTAGATTGACTGTATTCATTTTGTTTATTGCAGGGTCGCCTCGTCAATTTGAGTTGCTCTAGTGTTCCTTCATTTGTGGTGTCAATTACATCAACGACACAAGTAAGAATAGAGTTTGGTCTGATGTCTTTGAAAAATATTTTAACAATGCGAGCTTTGATGTGTGTACTAAGTTATGTTTAATTTTTTTTCTCCCACAGGCCATAGCATTAATTGAACTTTTCAAGGCACCTCCTGGTAGATATAAACATGATGTCTATCTTCTGCCGAAGAAGATGGGTAAGCGATCAGTGTATCAGTTTTCTTTACAGTTGTCACACTCTATCAAACAGACAGGTCGGGGGAAGTAAGGAAATGATTGAGAAGAGGTCAGGTTTTTGATGGAACACTAAACTGTCAGGAACAGCTGGCAAGAAATGCAAGATGATCATTTAGGAATATTATTTATACAAAGGTTAATTCTATTGCCATCTTCTGCCTTTCAGATGAGTATGTAGCAATGTTGCACTTGCCAACATTTGATGGCCATTTGACAGAGCTGACAGAAGAACAAGCAAAATATCTTGGAGTCAACAAGAATGGCCCTTTCAAGCCCAATTATTACAGGTTGGAATGAGAATGTTGTCTTTGACAGTTAATGGTTTGACCTTGGTAGAAAGATTTGATTTTGAAGTCTAATTGTTCAGGAGATGATAGTGCAGCTTGCAGAGCGTAGCCTCATAATTATACAAAATAGTGGTAAGCCATCAAGCCGAAAAAATTTGGATGTACAATCGTATGACCATACGACTGTACAAGGTGCTACTTTTAACATGCGTGGTCAACTGTACTACAGGCATGCCAATGCCACGGCTTTGTCCAGTAGTTCAGTGGTCAGTGCACTGGGCTCTGTGTTGGACGAGCAAAGACTTTCCCTAAGGTTGTTGAGAGATAACTCACTTCTACCAATAACAATCCATCTCAGGACTTCTTCTCCAGGAAGAAATATGACTGCCCAATCAATTGTTGTCTCTTTTTTTCTCCATTTTTAACTTAGCTTGAGCTTGAGTAGCAAGGCAGTAGAGTTTTGTTTTGCTTCATTGTTTCAAGAAGCATAGCATGATGCTTAAGCCACACACCCCTCAAAGCTTATCTCTGAGTCAAATAAATACAGGATTTTTTTTTTTTTTTGGAATTTCCATACAAAGACTATTTTTTTCCTCAATCTCTCCTTATTATTCTGAAGTAAATCCAGCAGCAAAAGGCCTTGAGAAATTACAACAAGGATTAGCTTAATAATTATTTTATTGATGTCTGGACTTATCATTCACAACTTAAAGTTAATTCTGTTCTAAGCAAGAATATTATTTTTCTACAGATACTAATGGCCAGGAACTGGAATCCACAACAGCCATGGTTAAATTTCTTGTAAATTCAGTGAACATTTTTAAAAATTGCTATTTATGAAAGACAGCAGTATTTTGCCACTTTTGGTCCAACCCTAGTCTGCCCTACCTCTGCAAATAATGCTGTAGTTCAAAATGAAAAACTAGATGTAGAGTTTCTTGGAATATAGATCTTTCTAAATCACAACACTCTTTCCTAACCCTTTGAAAACCTGTGCACAAACTGTTTAGGTTTGTCTAATGCCCTGTATAATGTAATGGTAAACTCTTTCCATTTTCATGGATCACTCCTCATAGCACACCATTTTTAAAGAGGCATGTGATATTTTGCCTTGTGTATTTTTCTGGATAAAAGCTTCATGCATGTGGGGCTGTGTCACATTCTCATCATATGCACATACATGTAGGAAAAAATTAATTTGGTTGGTCAGACAGACAGCCAACTATTGGCTGTTGTGCACATGGCTTGATTTTGTTCACAATAAATCATAAGAAGTTATATTTTGTATAAGAGAGGTGTTAATTTGTTGCTTATGGCTGCTAATATGGTAATCGTGTAGGATCTATCTGCCAACTGTTTGTTGAGTGAAGTTGGTTTGTTTGAGAGTTGTTTTAATATTGCTACTTAAACCTGACAGAGGGTGTTGATACAAAGTGCAAAAAATAGGAGAAGTTGTTATTCGTACCTCTGGTGCTCATAATGGGTTCTGTAAATTAAGGTGACAGCTCTAATAATGTCATGAAAGAATAGGAAATATTTCAAGAGCAGAACAATGACTGGAACAGCCATTTGAAAACTTTGTTCATTTCATAGCCATTGCTATGAAATGTAGTTACTCTGTTTACAGAAACCCTGGTGATAAACTCAAAGCTGTCTTTACATTTTTAAAACCTTAACGGAATGTTTAGCACTGTTACAGAAAGGAGACACATTAAGCATCTTGTAAAATTCTTTAAAATAATGTTATTTCTTTTTTCGAGCTGGCGAAGCTGTCTAGGCATTGCCATAGCAACAGCTCAAACTCCCTTATTATACCACTTAAGTTAGGTTTTCTTTACATTTATTTAAAATTTTAAAGAGGCAGTGACCAGAGTATTTTGCCAAGCAACAGTTGGTAGATAGGTCTCACTAGACAGTGAGGATCATTTCTCGCAATAACCAGATGTCCATGTATTAAAGACATAATTACTTCCTAATCATGATTAATGAGTCCTTAAACCAGGCAATGGTTAATAATTTTTAAGCAGGTTTCCAAAGTAAGTGCAAAGCATGTCATCGATAATTAAATAAATGGAAAAGCTGCCTGTTTACCGAGTCAATTAAATAATAAGTTTGCTAAAAAATTTTCTCAGATGAAGAAGTTATTTAAACACACGTGTACTGTCATCTGTGGTTTTTTTGGTTTGTTTTTATACCCCATACTCCCATGTCTTCAGCTGTTGTATGATATCAGTGTAAGTGTGTTGATGACAATGTAAGTGGGTGGCATTCAATAAAATTGTGCCATTTCACCGTGTCTGTTAAGATACATCTTATGTCTTAACATGTACTTCTACGCATTTTTGCTGAAATGATTTACATCCAACTCCTAAAGAGATATTTTACTGTAGATTCCATTTAATTTTCCTTTCTGCTATCTGTAATAAAGTCCAGAGCTTCCTTTGGGTGTCTTTAACTCTGCGACCCATATAAGTGATTAGAATCTAATTTTTCTTTACAAGATCACCTTTGAATCAGCCAATAAAGTCACGAGAAAATAGGAAATGGTCACCAACTAAAGAAGCTCTTGATTGTTAAACAAATTCTCCTTGTCAGCACCTTAGGAAATGTATAGAGAACAGTATGGAGATAATGCAAGGATTAAAATGGCTAGTGATTTAGAGTACAAAAATCTCTATTACTTTCCCATCACCCTTTGGCCTCCTGTTTGGGACAAGTGTACCAGTTAAACAGGCCTTACTTTGAATTTTGTTTGCATGAGGGAGGGAAGTTAAAAGCTCTGCTGCCTCAGTGAAATGTGACAACCATTAGGTTTGTTGCATCTGGAGTCCTTGTCACATTAACAAATTCTCAACTGAAGTCTGATGATGATGGTCAGATTCCCATTTAGGTTGTCAGTCTGTGACTTCAAACCATCACACAACAATATTGTTTGCTACCCACTGGTTCAATTTGCATTCAGGGGTATGCTGATTTAACAACTAACAAATACCCTTGATCCTTTACTCTCTAACATCAGTATGCATATTCTCTATACTGTTCTTTACACATTCCCTAAGGTGCTAGCAAGAAGAATTTGTTTAACAATCAAGAGCTTCTTTAAATGGTGATCATTTTGCTTATTTTCATGACCTTACTGTCAGATTTAGGGGTGATATCATACAAGGAAATTAGATGTTAGTCACTCTTAGGGTCAAACGGTAAATGATTTTCTCATTAGATTGCGATAATGTGACCATAACAAGATTTTGATGATGATTCAGTCAACAAATGTCTCACACAAGCCACTTCTCAGTAACATTAATGGTACGCACAAATGACATGGTGGTCAGGGTGCTTGCCTCCCACTGTTGTGGCCCCTTGTTCAATTTCTGAGCCTGGTGTCACATGTGGGATGAGTTCGATGTTAGTTCTTGTCCATGCCCTGTGGGTTTTCTCCAGTTCCTCTGGTTTTCCTCCCTCTACAAAAACCAACATTCCTATATTTTCCAAGAACCACTAGACAGGAGGAGCCACCTTGCAGAATGTCCACTGCTAATTTATTATGATGATTAAAACAGTTGAACCTGTATTAAGCAACACCATATTAAGCAGTTGGTTTTTCAAAGTCCTGAAATTTTTGTCTCTTTATTAGTCATTTTCATCTCTATTCAGTGGTTGTGGTAACCCTTTAGGAAGTCCCATTGGCCTGTTTAAATTGTTCTCCACCTGTACTGAGTAGTTAATTGAAGCACTAGCACTGAAAGAAAACTAAGCATTGTCTGTCAGATAAAATTTAATCCATGTTTCTCTCTCAAATGCAGTTAGTTTTTTTTTAAAATTTTATTAGTAAATCAAGTCAAGTTCTTTTCTATTGAGTTTAGGATGTGGATGATCAGAACACTAAAACATTTTTCATCCTCAATCTAAGATGGGAGTGGGATGAAAATTCCCTTAGGACAGATGATCATTAACCACAACACAAATTAGTCACAAATGATGATGATATCAATAATTTTTAATTTTAATCATACACAAGTCACTGCCCAGAAATATTCACAGTAAATACCCCACAAAGAACATTTGAGAGCTTACAAGACACCAGGTAATATGCAAGTTCTTTTTTTTTAAATCTACATCAGATCAATTTCCCTTCCAGTTAAACCCTTCCACACCCTAGATCCCACAATCAAAATTTACCTGTTCATTTTTTTATAATTCCTGGTAGACCATTTAGTTTCTCATATGAGAATTAAGTATCAAATTTAACAGTATCCTAAAAACAGTGTCCCTGTTTTTTTTTCCCTGTTTGCTTGAAGAGGTTGTGTCAATGATTTTTTTTTAAATTACTAAAGTAATCAACTTTTCCAAGAGTAAAAGCTTTGAATCCCAACAAGAGTTTATTTCTTCCTGAACTGTAATGAACTGACATCAAATAATGGTGATATGATGGGCAGCCCATGTGGAAGCTGTTTGCTGACCTGTTCTGAAGTTGTTTAGCTGTTTGTTTCAATGTCTCAGTTCAAAACACTTACAGGGTGAAATGAAGAAATGTCCAGTTGGTATTCTTTTTATCTAGCTCAAGATTAACTGAGAATAAAAACAGACCAACCAGGTTTGTGACAGAGAGATTATTTTTAAAAATCAACACTTATTCAAAGAATATTTCAGCTGAGACAGAGTGGTTCTTTTCTCTGGTAAAAGAGGTCTGCAGTCTGCAATTTTGACAAGGGTTCATACACCCCAGTACTAAAAAACAACAAAATTGAGATGCCAGTGGTTTAAAACCAAAAGTGCTTAAATAAAACTAAGAGAAAATCAATCTTTTTCTTTAAAATCAACTGCACTACCATTGCTTTTCTTGTTCTAAACAATAAGATAATGGAATCACATCTCTCTGTGTTCTTTTTTGCCCTACTCTTTCTGTACACTATTAATTTTTCCTGTGGCTTTAGATCATTGTCATTGTTCTATCTGCATGGTACTGTCAGTTCATTGGATCTTGTGAATTTTCTAGAGTTACTACTTCGACTGCTTGAGTGGCAACAGGGACACCTTCACATGTGTCAACTATCTGGGTGTGGACTTCATGTCCCATTGTGGAGGTCGTCACTGTCTGAATTATTGAATGAGGTGCCATTGCTACTTGGGGAACTGATGCAGAGATGTACTGAGAATGAGTACTAGCAGGTAAATGATGAGTTTGAATCTGCATGAGAGATGCTGCTGCCTGAACTGGAATGGTGACCATGTTAGAAGTATTCAAGTTATCCTGAACATTTGCCAATGCTGCAGCTGCAGCAGCAGCATGTTCTGGCAAAACAATCTGCCCTCCATCAGCAAGGGTGGCTTCTGCTAGAGTGGCAACAGCTGCTTGTGCAATAGCCTCTGTGTGTGACAAATCACTTTGGTCAATTCCCACTCCGTCACCCTGACCTGGATGAGGAAGAGTTACTTCTACTTGAGTTGCTGCAGCAACTTCAGCCAATGTTGCCACAGCCTGGGTTGCTTCTGTTTGCGAAGTGGTTGCATCTGATAGAGTGCTGACAGCACCTGATGCATCTACTTGTATCAGCGACACTGTTCCATCAGCATTTGAAATGGTATGTACCATCTGATGCTGTTGCTGTACATACTGGTGCTGTGTGGCATCTCCCTCGGAGAAAGCTGGTAACAGATCTTCCCTTCCATGGAACTTGTAGCAGTTCTTCACAATCTGTCGCAGAGCATTTGTCCAGGAGATTCTAGCTTTTTCATCTTCACTGCGACAATCACTGCGAACATTCTGCCATGGCAAATCTGATGGCCACCAAGCTGGGCGTGTTGAATCCTTCCCCCAGCCTGGCTTCCCGCGACCAGTGGAATAGCGCAACATCATGGGAATAAATGCTCTGAGCTGGGCTTGGGTCATTTTGTCAACAGGAGTTGGAATGCCATCGATGACAAGAGGGGGTAGTGTGTAGATATCTGGATTTTCTGGGGGAGGTGGAGGGGCATGCTCTGCTAAAGCATGCTCTAGATCTTGAAGAACAAGCTGTTTAAGGTTTCGAACCACATTTTCTAAAGGAACGGCACCAAACACCTTAAAAAGCGGATTTGGCTTTCCAGGGCACACGCACAACACAACAGCTTGCTGTCCTACTCGAGTTGTGTACTCGTCAATCGTCGCTCTCAATTTCCGCAGTAGACGAGTTTGTTGGCGTTTTCGGATCGAAGGGTTCGTTTCAAACGAATGTGGCCTTTTCCGCTTCTTTCCAGTCGCAATAGCCGCTGCGGCAGCCACTCCAACTGGCCCTGCTGCCGCAAGCTGTGCTGTGACTTCATCGCCGACCGTGGAATTCAGCAGGTCCGAGCCGTCGAAAGTTGTCGACTCCGGCGAAGATGGCTCATCATCCGACATTTGACTCATCGACTGAGACATGGAATGAGACATCTGCAAGGTCTGTAAATTGCCTTGCGTCAGAGCTTGGGATAACCCCACTTGATGAAGACCGACTTGAGCCAGTTTGCTATGGGAAAATAATTCAAAACATACAGTCACCTTTGAGACCGAACACAATTACACCAGTTTTTTGATGACTGTTCACTGAATCTTCACGCGACGAATTAATACAAAATTCATGTCGAAACCTTCGCTACAACTCAAGTTTCTCATCAGAAAAATCCCAAGAAAAATTAACAAAATGTCGCGGCTGTAGTCCACTCTATCGCCATAAATCGCTTCTATTTCCGTGGTTGATCGCGAGAGAGCAAGCCCCTTTTTGTTCGAAAATTACAATCTTTTCGTCTGGTAAACTTCTCCTTTCGCTACAAAAGCCCCGCGGTCATACTTACACTTTCAATCGACAAACTAAGCTCCATAACTGCTGAAATAAGACGAGTGCCTTAGGTTAAACACAGTAAAGATACCTGGTTTGACGGCAGGATCAAAATAACTCAGCAAAGTTTCTGAATCTGCGCAAAGAAGCTGTCCGTTCGACTTGCGCGGAAAAGAGAACGCGATGGCGGCTGCTCAATAGAACTAACTGGCGTGGGGCTGCCACGCATGTGCTAACCAAACTGCGGGGTGTACCTCTTTCATGGAAAATTACAGGGCTTGGTGAATCTAACGCGCATTTTAATTGGCTGAAATAAATCGTGATTTCAATAAGAACTCTTCTCATTCGCTGCTATTTTTTATCTCGGATTTAAGCAAGGTGCGGTAGCACCTGCTTATCTCACCTGCTTTTAGCTTAGTTCCTTTCATCTTTTTTCTAAATATATACCATATGATCAATAAATTAGAAGGTTATGGTGTTGTTTGAATTGAGAAGGTTATATTGATATTTTTTTCCATAACCAAGCATAGTCACCTCATTTACAAGGTATTAAACAAAAAATTAATTGGGTTTTTGTCTTTGCATTTTCTTTCCTTTTTGGAAACTACCCACTATCAACCAAGTTGTGTTTTCATATGCATGTTCTGACAATCACTGTTACTACCCAATTAGAAAAATAAAATCAAGTGAACTTCAAATACTCTAATCACAAAGAAGTGAATCGGTGAGTGATCTCAAATTAAATAACCTTTTTTAATTTTGCATGCTATCTTTCTTCATTTTTTTTTAACACTAGTCAATGGTGGCTCTTAAGTCACACAAAGGGGCTGAATTAAGGACTGGATAAGAATCTTCAAATCATGTGACATTTGACCAAGGCTATGGAACAGGAAAACCACTCTCTATCAGTGCCAAGTTTTGCATGCAAAGTAAAGTGACTCCATTGATAAAGCTCTACACACCAAGGTCCTCAAGATTAAGTTCCCAGCCTCTTTTAGGTGCATTTGAAATCTTTGGCTCTCTAGGACTTTGGTGTTTTGTTCTGTCTCCATAGGTAATACTCCTTAATCCTCTAACAACCAGAAGTGATTAACATGTAACTTCTCCCATACATTATTCACCAAACATTTGGTGAGAAAACTCAAACTTGTCATGCTGAAGGTGCTATATACCTTGATTGATATAAAACCAAATTCTTGAAACAAGGAAATATGTAGCAGCTAGAGGGGAGAATATAAAACAATCAGATGTTAAGGTTGAACTATAGAAAAGGGTCTCACTGCAAGCCCCTCTAGCAACAGCCCACAGACAATCACAAACCAAATCCCCTAAGTGGACAACTCCAGCCACAATTGCTCATCAGTAATTCTTGGGACATTCCCATCCCTCCCCAGGGCAAATTGTATCCTAACATGGGTGCAGCTGGGAGGTATTCTGAAGTTCCCATGATCCTCTCCTCTTGTGAGATACTTTTATTGGTGTCAAGAGCACACAAATCTAAAAACACAGCTTTATGAAAATGTGCAAATCTTGAAAATTTACATGGTAAACACTCAATTTGCTGATCCTACTCTCAGCATGATTAAGAGCTTGATCATACACATGAAAGAGCAGCCATAAAACCACATCATGTAAGGTTGCATGGGAATTTGTAACTTTGAACCCAGTGCCTTTTCAAAAATTTCTAGCCTTGCTCCTGTATGAAGTTTAAGATGACAATTTCAATTAACTTCTGTCAATTACTGCAAATAGCATTAACAATACCAAAAATTGTTTGTGTTGTTACAAAGTAATTTATTATACTTCTCATATAAATAATGAAATTACAATAATCTTCCCAATTAATTTACTGTATTCAAAATATGTTCCATGAGATCAAACATTATACACAATGATATAAAAATTTACTGCTGACAATTCTCTGGGCTTAGTTTCTATTGTTTTATTTCTGATTGAAAAGAAATCTGCAAAACTCTGTCACTGAGCCACACTGACAAGCAACACAGATCAAAGGCATTCTTACTGAGATCAGTTTTAGACAAGGATGGTAACATACACAAAAGATGAAAACAGAAATAGAGATAAACTTGGCACAAAATACAAAAATCATTTCAGCTTGAGACTTCAACCCTTTTACTCTCAGAAGCAATTAACCTGTAACCTCTCCCTGTAATATTCATACATCATCCAGCAAACGGGTAATGAGAATACTCTAACTAATCAAGTAGATGTTATCTACCACTTAATGCTCATAACTTATTCGTAAAGAAATATATGTAGCAGCTATAGGGAAGAATTAACAAGCATGTATTCGGAGTTAATTGATTTGAATTGTATCATATAAATAAACACCTCATACACAGCAAGAGCTTACACATTTCAGCTACAAGTCAGGAACCAAATGCAAAACATTCACCTTCCCCAGATATACAAAGTACTTATTACCACATTTGATCCAAAAACATATTCAAACAAGTGAGATTAGTCTGGTTGAAAACTCTGAAGGAAAAAAAAATTGAAAGCAATCTTTGCAGTAATGAACACTACATAAGCAGTAGTAAAAACAAGGTCTGAATGGGATTCAAATGCATGACCTCTGCAAAAGATTGTCAGAGAAAAAAGGACAAAAGTGCACATGACAGTTTTGAAAGATAATCTGGGTATCTGGTAATAAACAGATTTTAAAATTCACATAAAGAAATAAATTTAATAAAACTGCTATACTTCTTCCTTACAGTGGCATTTTCTCAGACTTCCCTAATGGAACCATAACCTAAAAGCTACCAATATTACCTTCCTGGGTTGTCTTGTGCACTTTTACATTTTTTTCTTGACTGTTCTTGAAACAGATTAATTAAAAAGTGACCAGTGACTTTTACAGAAAGGCAAGGAAAGTTTTCCCTTTTAAATTTGTGGCTTGTGAAATGTGGCACTGTGGTGGTGTGGTTTTTAAAATTTGAGCATGAAACAAGATCTCCTTTCACTACCCTCCCAGGTGCTCTACCCAATTTAAGTTTCCCCTTCTTCCCTGCCCCCTCCCAGTGCCTACCCCCCCCCCTTACTGAGATTGTACAGTAATCATTTTCTTCTAGCCCCACCTCTGATTGAGGGGGTTTACGTGATAAATAAGGGTGGATCCTCTCTGACAAAGGTGGCCTGGCTACAAGGTTTAATAGGAAAATTAGGTGGGTTTAATCTATTGCCATAAAATCGATAACAGGTCTATTTCACATGAAAACACTCCAGCATGCACAATCCTTCATCTCGTGCAAATTCGCAATGATAAGTATATGTACATTACTGCTTCTCACACCTTTCTAATGTCTTAAGGAAATTATGACAAGTTAGATCCTTAAAATATTGCAAATCTTACTGCTGGAATATAACTCCAAGGCCCAATTTACTCAAGCAAGCAACATCAAACACATGCCAAACGCAGCTTCCTCTTTTTTCTTCCTGCTGACAGTTCGCAGAGCCCTCTTATTGGGGAGACGTTTGTGAAAGTATTATGTATGGGTAATCCGGCCGGCGTCAAAGAGATTACTTCCAGAACCTACCAAAACTTTATTTTTTCTTTTTTCCTTTTCCTTTCTTCTTTTTACCCTTTTTTCCTCCGGCTTCCCAGCCAAATCCTCTAAATCCCAGGAACTGTGGAGCATTGTGTGCAATATAGTAACCATTAACCATTGCATCAGGACTCAACAGATCCACATCACGCTTGGTTTTCAAAGGGGACGGCGATCGAGACTTTTTGCCACCTTTCTTTCCACCTTTTCTCGAAGGGCTGCTACTGGCTCCTCTGCTTCGACTTCTACTCTTGCCCGATTTCCTTACCTTACCAGATTTATGACCGGCCGGCTGTGGAAATACGACACGATTTGAAAAGGAAACGCAAAAGTAAACAAACCGTAGGGAAGCCATTGAAAATGCGGTAAAATCATTCAAGCGTTGAGCAGTTGTTACAAATTTTGATCAACCCTCACCATTTGGAAGGTAAAGTAAGTCGATTTCCTTAGTTGAAATACTCTCTTTGTAAAAAAACTTTCAAACAGTTCACACAGTCGTATCAATTTCCTTTCTTCTATGCATTGTGTACTAATCGACTGCTCGTTTCGATGGAATGTCAGTACGTAAGCAACCCCCGCCAACTTAGTTGCCATACCAACTTCGCATAAATTAACCTCTTAAACCATGCATTAGTAGTCATAATCTCTTCACATTTCCTGTGGTATTAGGAAGGAGAATTTGTTTGGCAATCAGGAGCTTCTTAAATTGGTGATCATTTTCTTTATTCTCATGACCTTATGCATGATTCAAGGGTAACACTGTAGAAATTGGAAGCCAGTTACCCATACTCAGCTGAGGGTTCAAAAAATATAGGCGCGCAACAGCCTATGCGCTTTCAGGTTTGAAAATAGTTTCGAATTTATGATCCGTTTTAACTTCTTTTTTAAGCGCCTTTTTTGATTCCAAATTTAACTGATTTTACGATTTTGTTACATTTTACACGCATTTAGATTGAAGAGGAGAAGATGAATCCCCAACGTGAATCCCTAGGCCTGGAAAGAAAGAAACTTCACTCGATCGGAAAGCAGTTACTCTTTTATTTTGCTTGTGAAAATGCTTTTGTTACATAACATAAAGCTGACACTGCATGTATTTTCCCTTGAAACGCAGTTTTATCTTTTAAGGTGCACCCCTCGTTTAAAGCAATCTGACAAATTACAATTTTTCCGGAGCACATGATAACAGGAAACTACATTTGATCAAGAGCACAACTAGGGGTTAAATGCATTACACTTGTATTTATAGTTTTTAACCTATGAAATTGTTTTCCTTGGAGACCAGTCATTATTCATCGCCCTGGGGGAGGGGAGGGGAGGTTTCGGATTATTTCTACCAACAATAGACCCTATTAGAAATCGTAACCTGCGTAGCCAGGCTCCTAAAGGAGGGAAGAGGGGAGGCCGGAGGGGACAGTGGATGAATGGAAAAAAGGGAACACCCAATTTTTTACAATCGTCCCTTCATACTCTGTTACCGAGGAATTATCCCCCCCCCCTTCATTTCCCCTTGAAACTATGTGATCCCGACAACAATCAAATCCCTTACCCCCCCCCCTCCTCCCCTACCCTTCCCCTCGGCGGTAAATAAGGACTGGTCCCAAAAGCAGTACAGAGATAAACTTAATATCAAAGTAAGCACTTTTCTAGTTTATGATTCCATCACTTAAAAAGCCATAAAAAGTTTTATTACGACTATCTGCTGCTCAGTGAAAGTTCAGACGAAAATTGCATATACATCAACGCAAGCGGTGCCACCATTGTCTCCCTCGCTGGTATTCATCAGATCCTCGCCATACCACACTCGTAACTCTTGGTGGCGGTTGACGCGGGAGGGGCTGAAAAACGATAGCACTAACTCTGGGGAGAGTGAGTTATATCCAGGAACCTGGGACCATTTAGCACCATCATTTACGATGAACTGGCGCGGTGGCAAAAGAACGTGATTGCCCGACGTTGTTATGACAACATTAATCTTGCCCAGTCCCCAGCGGTACAAGCCACAGCCCCAGTAAGACCAATAAGAGACATGTCGTGTGTCACAGGAAACGTATCCGTAGAGATGAACCAACCTCACAGCAGCCAGCTTTCTATAACCACTTTTAACATAGAATCTGCCAAACTGACCGTCCTTTGCGCCAAAGCACACTGGTGAGGTATTCTGCTTTTCCCATTGATCTGTAGAGTAAACAAAAACTAAACTAATTAACAAATAGAGAAGTCTTGACTGTGCTCTGTTCTGTTGTAGACCACGCAAGAATCGGCTAGAGCACGAAAGAAGTGTAGGGAAAAAGACGAGACGTAGTCAGGAGCCCAACCGTAATTGAGTGTTTCTACCCACTTCTTGAGTGTTCTGGCCGCTCCCTGAGTGCTTTACAACAGAGCAGAGCACAGTCAAGGTTTCCCTACTTGTTTTATAAAAGAGAATCCGTCAAAATCCCAGTTAGAATGGTTCAAATAATCTGATTTGCTGAACAAGACTACAGTTGTCAAAGACGTCAAACCACCAAAGTTCAAAAACCATCAAATTTCACATCTGCAATAGTTTACAAACTGAAATAATTCGGCAGGTCGAATTTAACACTTTTGCCTGAAGTTTTGTAGTCTCTAAAAAAGAATCTGAAAGTGAAATGTTCAGTCAAATCCAGCCGAATTGTGGCTCATAAAAACACGCAAGTGTTTTCACATGGCAACTAGAAAACAAACTGTTAAAGGCGAGTGTGTTATGAATCAACGACAGCTGAAATTCACCGGAACATGAAGATTGCTCGGGATGACAAAGCCGTTAAACTCGGCTGCAGTGACTGATGTGGCCTTCCAATCAACGCATCGGAAAGGATGTCAGAGCGAGCTCTTAGCTGCGATTGAATCAAGCTTATTATATATGAAGATGATTAATTTCGTACCTGAAACACAGCATTCAAGAACACACATAGCCACGAAGGCAAAGGCAAAAACTACGGAGATCTTCATTGATTTCTCTGTTTGACTGTCTTGGATACTAAAAGGAAAACAAGAAGATTTGATATGAGTGGCTGTAGTAGACAAATACCAATGACGCAAGTATATTATCAACGAGAAAAGGCTAACGAAAAAAAACAAAAAGAATATGCTTAGATTTGATTCGGCTCAAAGGCTTGTCGTTGTCGTCTTTATAAGGCATTTACACTTCCTCACTTTTATTATTGTTCTATGGTGTGGTATTTCTCTAGTAAACAAGATTTCGATAAATTGGATCTTTAAAACAAACGTATTCTTCGATTTATTTTCAAGGATTTTAACTCTGAATACAATGATTTACTTAAAAGGGCAGGAACTGTAAACCTTAAGGACAAGCGTTTACAAAACATGATTCTTACTATTTTTAAATGTCTATATTTTTCTGATTATCCAAGATATTTAAAAGATATGTTTCACTTGCCCTCTAACACCTATTTTATAAGAGGACATAATATACTTTGTTTGCCTAAACCACTGACCACTTCTTATGGTGTCAATTCCTTTAGTTACTTGGCAGCAATATCTTGGAATTATCTTCCTGACTATCACCGCACAATTGCTGATTTTACTTCCTTTCGACGACTGTTATCTACTGGGTACAATAATTTACTTAAAAGGGCAGGAACTGCAAACCTTTCTACATCAAGATAATCCGCTAGTTAGTTGTCTGGGTAGTTAGTTATCCTATTTTATTTTAAAATCCACGAACCAAAAGGCATGAATGTTAACGCGATTCTAACTGTTGTGCATGTTAAGAGCAGTTATTTTCGCCCAGAAAAAAACAATCTCTTTGTCAAATTACCTTATTCCAAAGAAATCTGCTTCAGCTCTTCCTATCTTATTAGAAAAAAAGGGAGAATGCACCGCACAGAATAAAGAGTAAACTTACCTTGCACAACCGATTCGTCGCGAGACTGTCTCTCGAACTCTCCGAAGTAGCTCAAACAAACCTGAGCAACCTATGGTCAAGAAAGAAACTTAACAGCCTTTTTATATGATTTGATTTGCATCAACAAGAGTTTGTTAATGGTGGTTCCATCGTGAAAGACCGCTTAAGGCGAAATAAACACAAAAGTTTTATCAAGTGTTTTTTCCTGACTATCGTGTATAATATAATGATTTTCATATCACGTACTGTCATCCTCCATTGCACAGTTACCAGAAAGTAACAGTTTCCCTGAGTATCCTATCACCATAGCTTTCCAGAATTAAACTCAAAATGTTGTTCATGTCTAAGGGGTTTTTTGCAGTAAAAATTTAAATCAGCTAACATGGCTAAGGAGCTCTCTTTTGAATGGACGATGCAAACAAGTTCTTCTTTCTTTCCTTCTGACATTACTAAAAGGTCATTAAAAATGAATAGGCAAGCTTATTGAAGCAAAAATAACTAACGAGTTAACGAAGCGTCCAATGAAAATGTATCCATTTGTCTGTATCATAACCGAGTAATAAAGAGGTGTAAAATGTAATGTAGAGGCACTACTGGGCAGGACTAACGTACTAATACAGCTGTCTACGTCGATTAACTAATAACATTAAGAAGTCGGATAGTAACAGCATTATTATTGTCGATATTTCATTTCATATACGCTTAAGTGATTTTTTGTAATAAAAACGCGCCTTTGTTCAATGTTGCAAGAGCTGAGTTTATAAAGAGTACAATAAAGTAGACAATAATTGACTCATGAAAAAATAAAATCATTTGCGGGGGCTACAAACAAACAGATCGCTGCAGGAAGTACTTGAATAAAACAATGTACTTCAAACCAAATGTTTTTAGTGGTTTTAAACTCTTTTAATTATGCAGCTAAAGAAATGCAGTTTTACGCTTCTGATTTGCAGGATAAAAGCCAAGTACCAAAATGACTCCAAACTTACTATCCTCTGCATAGGAATTTTTTAGGTTTTCAAGTTAATACTATACTTGGCAACACACTTAGTGTAGGATAACTCGTAAGGATATTGCACGACTGTCAGGAATTACCACACCGAGTTGAATTACCAAAGAGCAAAACAGCTATATACTGAGAAAAAAATAACTTAATAATAGGTAAGAAAAAAGTGTCTCCGTAGGATAGATAGGTGATTAGAACTTTCTTCGTACCGACGATTTACAAGCATCACTTTTTTCGCGTAAGCAATTACAGAGAGCATTCCCACTTTAACCACTGAAGTGAAAAATTATAGCTTTGGCTTTACATAACAAACGAGCCCGTGGTTTTGCGTCATAAACAGTTTAAAATCAACCCATATAAGAAACGGCTAGAATCTATGAAAGAAACCCGCAATTTCCTGAATAACATTTTAGTGAATAACATAACAAACACGCCCATGGTTTTGCGTCAAAAATCGTTTAAAATCAACCCATAAAAGAAACGGCTAGAATCTATGAAAGAAACCCGCAATTTCCTGTATAACATTTTCAAGCTCAATTATTTGAGTGCGCAGATAAAACACTGAAAAATGCAGCATACTTTGCAAGTCATGCAAAAAGTATTTTGATATTGTGCTACGCTAGGCGTAAGGCCTATAATAGCGAAATATGGATGGCAGACCTGAAATATTTTAGGCAAAAGATGAAAAGTTTTAAATAATCTTTACACTTGGCCTTTGATTCTGCACATCTTTGTCTACCGTTGTTGTGCCCTGTTTTAAACTCCTCTCCTTGCAACACTGACAAAGGCGCGTTTTTATCCCCAAAAAAACTTAAGCGTATATGAAACAAATATCATTGTTCTGTGACGGTTTGTTAGCTCTGGAAGCTCTGTGACCAAAAAGCTTCATTTGGTGACAAAGCTCTACAGAAATGAAACTCAAAATGATGTTCCTGTACAAGGATTTTTTTTTTCGGAAATATTTTAACTCAGTTAGCATAGCTAAGGAACTCACTTATGAGCATGTCTTTTGAATTGACGATGCTGACAAGCACTTCTTTCTTTCTGACATTACTTAGAGGTCATTCCGAAATGAATAGGCAAGCCTATTGAAGCAAAAATAGTCCAACAAAGGACTTCAACTTTCGGAGCTAACAAACTGTCACATGAAAAATGAATCACTTTGTCGGTGTCGTGAAGAAATACTTAATTATAACTCAGAGCCGGACACTATTTGGCATGATCAGCATAGCTATTAGCAGTTGTCATCAGAAAATGTAACACTTTGAAAAGTAACATAGCATCTTTATTTTCAGACAATATACGACTTGGTGCAGAGAAATGATATTCATTTCAGATACGTTTAAGTGATTTTTTTTAAAAGAGCCTTTGTTCAGTGTTGCAAGAAGAGAGTTTGTAAAGAGTACAATAGCAATAGACAATAACTGAGTTCTTTAAAAAAAACTATTATTTGCGAGGCTATCAACAAACAGAACACTTCAGGAAGTCATTCATAAATCACTCTATTTCAGACCAAATGGTTTTAGTCGTTTTAAACCTTTTTATGCAGTTGAAATAACGTAGCTTTACGTCTCTGATTTGCAGGATAAAAAGCTAAGTGTAAAAATGATTTCAAACTTGCCATTTTTTGCCAAAAATATTTTAGGTCTGCAAATGAATGCCATCCGTAATTGGCTACTACTGACATTACGCCTAGTGTAGCATAACTTGAACACTTGTTGCATGACTTGTAAAGTCAGCTGTTTTTTTTTTTCTGTCAGTCTTTTATTTGAGTGGGCAAATCAGTAAACTTGTAAATTTTATTCAGGAAATTGTGAGTTTCTTTCAAGATTTAGCTGTTTGAAGAGATTTATGGCTGAAAACCATTAGTGCGTTGCTTTCTAACGCCAAACCACAATCATATTGCTACACTTCATTGCTCAAAGTAGAAAGACTTTCAGTATTTCTTTATGGGAAAAAAGTATGCTTTCAAATTGTCAAGGCGAAGAAAGTTCTGTTTGATTATGTTTTCTGCTAAGATACTTCTGCACGCCAATATTTGAGCCTTGTGGAGACAGGGACGAGCCAATATCGACTTAAGTATCATTTACTCACTCTCGTGTTAATTTTTATAAGCTTAACCAGGTGCAACGTGAATTGATCAACTTCTTTTTACAACTTTTGTGGTTTTTTTTTAATGAAATTTCAGTTTTTTTATACCAAAGTTTACAGATTTACCAGTAGTATGCAAAAATCAAAAGTTGCATTTCAGTTTCTTTTCGCGAGCCTTAATTATAACCTTGAATCCCTGTGTAAATTACCGACGTATAAACCGTTCTTTGTGCGTCGGGAAGTTCTTTAAGGCCTAATGGACCTTGCAGACTGGCGTCGAGAAACCAACGCTGTGCCTTTAATTTTGCAGAACCATTTCTTGTGACTGTCTAACCTGTCTCAGGCGTTCACTTTGTAAAACGAAGCACGAAAGTAAACATTGAAATAGCAGCCGCGGAGTGAAAAAGAGGGGAAGGGTTGGGTCTTAGTCGAGCGAACCCAACCCGAACCAAGCCTCCCTCGCTTTTTCTCTCCGCTGCGATTATCGCACTTCGTTTTACTAACTAAACACCCGTGACCGTCGAGCCCGGCCAGGGGCCCAAGAGTGAATTATTCGTTTGTTGGATTTCGACAGTAACCAGTAAGTATTTAACGCCTGGCGTCAATTGGGGGAAGGGGGAGGGGGGAGGGATGATATGGGTTTCTGTAGGAAAGGAGGAGAGATCAGTCGCCTCTAACAGACTTTGGAGCGGGAAAATTTTTAGCCAATGACGGGGGGGGGGGGGGGGGAAGGGGGAGAGAGGAGAAAACTGTTGTGGTTAATATTACAAAAAAAAAAGAAAAAATGAGAAAACTTTAACATTATGTTTAATGGTTCGTGGAGATTGATGGTCATATGCAATGCTCATTCCTGGCAAAAACAGAAACCATAGGCGCCTCTTATCGCTGTTATCGACCAAAGAAACCAACTTCGCATAAATTAACCTCTTAAACCATGCATTAGTAGTCATAATCTCTTCACATTTCCTGTGGTATTAGGAAGGAGAATTTGTTTGGCAATCAGGAGCTTCTTAAATTGGGGATCATTTTCTTTATTCTCATGACCTTATGCATGATTCAAGGGTAACACTGTAGAAATTGGAAGCCAGTTACCCATACTCAGCTGAGGGTTCAAAAAATATAGGCGCGCAACAGCCTATGCGCTTGCAGATTTGAAAATAATTTCGAATTTGTGATCCGTCTTAACTTCTTTTTTAAGCGCCTTTTTTTATTTCAAATTTAACTGCTTTTACGATTTTCTTATATTTTACACGCATTTAGAATGAAAAGGAGAAGATGAATCCCCCAACGTGAATCCCTAAGCCTGGGAAGAAAGAAACTTCACTCGATCGGAAAGCAGTTACTCTTTTATTTTGCTTGTCAAAAATGCTTTGTTACATAACATAAAGCTGACACTGCATGTATCTGCCCTTGAAACGTGGTTTCTACTTTTAAGGTACACCCCTCGTTTAAAAGCAATCTGACAAATTACAATTTTCCGGAGCACATGATAACAGGAAACTACATTTGATCAAGAGCACAACTAGGGGTTAAATGCATTACACTTGTATTTATAGTTTTTAACCTATGAAATTGTTTTCCTTGGAGACCAGTCATTATTCATCGCCCTGGGGGAGGGGAGGGGAGGTTTCGGATTATTTCTACCAACAATAGACCCTATTAGAAATCGTAACCTGCGTAGCCAGGCTCCTAAAGGAGGGAAGAGGGGAGGCCGGAGGGGACAGTGGATGAATGGAAAAAAGGGAACACCCAATTTTTTACAATCGTCCCTTCATACTCTGTTACCGAGGAATTATCCCCCCCCTTCATTTCCCCTTGAAACTATGTGATCCCGACAACAATCAAATCCCTTAACCCCCCCCCCCCCTCCTCCCCTACCCTTCCCCTCGGCGGTAAATAAGGACTGGTCCCAAAAGCAGTACAGAGATAAACTTAATATCAAAGTAAGCACTTTTCTAGTTTATGATTCCATCACTTAAAAAGCCATAAAAAGTTTTATTACGACTATCTGCTGCTCAGTGAAAGTTCAGACGAAAATTGCATATACATCAACGCAAGCGGTGCCACCATTGTCTCCCTCGCTGGTATTCATCAGATCCTCGCCATACCACACTCGTAACTCTTGGTGGCGGTTGACGCGGGAGGGGCTGAAAAACGATAGCACTAACTCTGGGGAGAGTGAGTTATATCCAGGAACCTGGGACCATTTAGCACCATCATTTACGATGAACTGGCGCGGTGGCAAAAGAACGTGATTGCCCGACGTTGTTATGACAACATTAATCTTGCCCAGTCCCCAGCCGTACAAGCCACAGCCCCAGTAAGACCAATAAGAGACATGTCGTGTGTCACAGGAAACGTATCCGTAGAGATGAACCAACCTCACAGCAGCCAGCTTTCTATAACCACTTTTAACATAGAATCTGCCAAACTGACCGTCCTTTGCGCCAAAGCACACTGGTGAGGTATTCTGCTTTTCCCATTGATCTGTAGAGTAAACAAAAACTAAACTAATTAACAAATAGAGAAGTCTTGACTGTGCTCTGTTCTGTTGTAGACCACGCAAGAATCGGCTAGAGCACGAAAGAAGTGTAGGGAAAAAGACGAGACGTAGTCAGGAGCCCAACCGTAATTGAGTGTTTCTACCCACTTCTTGAGTGTTCTGGCCGCTCCCTGAGTGCTTTACAACAGAGCAGAGCACAGTCAAGGTTTCCCTACTTGTTTTATAAAAGAGAATCCGTCAAAATCCCAGTTAGAATGGTTCAAATAATCTGATTTGCTGAACAAGACTACAGTTGTCAAAGACGTCAAACCACCAAAGTTCAAAAACCATCAAATTTCACATCTGCAATAGTTTACAAACTGAAATAATTCGGCAGGTCGAATTTAACACTTTTGCCTGAAGTTTTGTAGTCTCTAAAAAAGAATCTGAAAGTGAAATGTTCAGTCAAATCCAGCCGAATTGTGGCTTATAAAAACACGCAAATGTTTTCACATGGCAACTAGAAAACAAAATGTTAAAGGCGAGTGTGTTATGAATCAACGACAGCTGAAATTCACCGGAAAAGGAAGATTGCTCGGGATGACAAGGCCGTTAAACTCGGCTGCAGTGACTGATGTGGCCTTCCAATCAACGTATCGGAAAGGATGTCAGAGCGAGCTCTTAGCTGCGATTGAATCAAGCCTATTATATATGAAGATGATTAATTTCGTACCTGAAACACAGCATTCAAGAACACACATAGCCACGAAGGCAAAGGCAAAAACTACAGAGATCTTCATTGATTTCTCTGTTTGACTGTCTTGGATGCTAAAAGGAAAACAAGAAGATTTGATATGAGTGGCTGTAGTAGACAAATACCAATGACGCAAGTATATTGTCAACGAGAAAAGGCTAACGAAAAAAAACAAAAAGAATATGCTTAGATTTGATTCGGCTCAAAGGCTTGTCGTTGTCGTCTTTATAAGGCATTTACACTTCCTCAATTTTATTATTGTTCTATGGTGTGGTATTTCTCTAGTAAACAAGATTTCGATAAATTGGATCTTTAAAACAAACGTATTCTTCGATTTATTTTCAAGGATTTTAACTCTGAATACAATGATTTACTTAAAAGGGCAGAAACTGTAAACCTTAAGGACAAGCGTTTACAAAACATGATTCTTACTATTTTTAAATGTCTATATTTTTCTGATTATCCAAGATATTTAAAAGATATGTTTCACTTGCCCTCTAACACCTATTTTATAAGAGGACATAATAGACTCTGTTTGCCTAAACCATTGACCACTTCTTATGGTGTCAATTCCTTTAGTTACTTGGCAGCAACATCTTGGAATTCTCTTCCTGACCATCATTGCACTATTTCTGATTTTACTACTTTTCGACGACTGTTATCTACTGGGTACAATAATTTACTTAAAAGGGCAGGAACTGTAAACATTAAGGACAAGCGTTTGCATGATTCTTACTATTTTTAAATGTCTACATTTTTCTGATTATCCAAGATATTTAAAAGATATGTTTCACTTGCGCTCTAGCACCTATTTTTTAAGAGGACATAATAGACTCTGTTTGCCTAAACCATTGACCACTTCTTTTGGTGTCAATTCCTTCAGTTACTTGGCAGCAACATCTTGGAATTCTCTTCCTGACCATCACCGCACTATTTCTGATTTTACTACTTTTCGACGACTGTTATCTACTGGGTACAATAATTTACTTAAAAGGGCAGGAACTGCAAACCTTTCTACATCAAGATAATCCGCTAGTTAGTTGTCTGGGTAGTTAGTTATCCTATTTTATTTTAAAATCCACGAACCAAAAGGCACGAATGTTAACGCGATTCTAACTGTTGTGCATGTTAAGAGCAGTTATTTTCGCCCAGAAAAAAACAATCTCTTTGTCAAATTACCTTATTCCAAAGAAATCTGCTTCAGCTCTTCCTATCTTATTAGAAAAAAAGGGAGAATGCACCGCACAGAATAAAGAGTAAACTTACCTTGCACAACCGATTCGTCGCGAGACTGTCTCTCGAACTCTCCGAAGTAGCTCAAACAAACCTGAGCAACCTATGGTCAAGAAAGAAACTTAACAGCCTTTTTATATGATTTGATTTGCATCAACAAGAGTTTGTTAATGGTGGTTCCATCGTGAAAGACCGCTTAAGGCGAAATAAACACAAAAGTTTTATCAAGTGTTTTTTCCTGACTATCGTGTATAATATAATGATTTTCATATCACGTACTGTCATCCTCCATTGCACAGTTACCAGAAAGTAACAGTTTCCCTGAGTATCCTATCACCATAGCTTTCCAGAATTAAACTCAAAATGTTGTTCATGTCTAAGGGGTTTTTTGCAGTAAAAATTTAAATCAGCTAACATGGCTAAGGAGCTCTCTTTTGAATGGACGATGCAAACAAGTTCTTCTTTCTTTCTTTCTGACATTACTAAACGGTCATTAAAAATGAATAGGCAAGCTTGTTGAAGCAAAAATAACTAACGAGTTAACGAAGCGTCAAATGAAAATGAATCCATTTGTCTGTATCATAACCGAGTAATAAAGAGGTGTAAAAAGTAATTTAGAGGCTCTACTTGGCAGGACTAACGTACTAATACAGCTGTCTACGTCGATTAACTAATAACATTAAGAAGTCGGATAGTTTTCAAAAAGTAACAGCATTATTATTGTCGATATTTCATTTCATATACGCTTAAGTGATTTTTTGTGATAAAAACGCGCCTTTGTTCAGTGTTGCAAGAGCTGAGTTTATAAAGATTACAATAAAGTAGACAATAATTGACCTTATTATGCAGCTAAAGAAATGCAGTTTTACGCGTCTGATTTGCAGGATAAAAGCCAAGTACCAAAATGACTCCAAACTCACTATCCTCTGCATAGGAATTTTTTAGGTTTTGAAGTTAATACTATACTTGGCAAAACACTTAGTGTAGGATAACTCGTAAGGATATTGCACGACTGTCAGGAATTACCACACCGAGTTGAATTACCACAGAGCAAAACAGCTATATACCGAGGAAAAAATAACTAATAATAGGTAAGAAAAAAGTGTCTCCGTAGGATAGATAGGTGATTAGAACTTTCTTCGTACCGACGATTTACAAGCATCACTTTTTTCGCGTAAGCAATTACAGAGAGCATTCCCACTTTAACCACTGAAGTGAAAAATTATAGCTTTGGCTTTACATAACAAACGAGCCCGTGGTTTTGCGTCATAAATAGTTTAAAATCAACCCATACAAGAAACGGCTAGAATCTATGAAAGAAACCCGCAATTTCCTGAATAACATTTTAGTGAATAACATAACAAACACGCCCATGGTTTTGCGTCAAAAATCGTTTAAAATCAACCCATATAAGAAACGGCTAGAATCTATGAAAGAAACCCGCAATTTCCTGAATAACATTTTAGTGAATAACATAACAAACACGCCCATGGTTTTGCGTCAAAAATCGTTTAGAATCAACCCATATAAGAAACGGCTAGAATCTATGAAAGAAACCCGCAATTTCCTGTATAACATTTTCAAGCTCAATGATTTGAGTGCGCAGATAAAACACTGAAAAAAGCAACATACTTTGCAAGTCATGCAAAAAGTATTTTGATATTGTGCTACGCTAGGCGTAAGGCCTATAATAGCGAAATATGGATGGCAGACCTGAAATATTTTAGGCAAAAGATGAAAAGTTTTAAATAATCTTTACACTTGGCCTTTGATTGTGCACATCTTTGTCTACCGTTGTTGTGCCCTGTTTTAAACTCCTCTCCTTGCAACACTGACAAAGGCGCGTTTTTATCCACAAAACAACTTAAGCGTATATGAAACAAATATCATTGTTCTGTGACGGTTTGTTATCTCTGGAAGCTCTGTGACCAAAAAGCTTTATTTGGTGACAAAGCTCTACAGAAATGAAACTCAAAATGATGTTCCTGTACAAGGATTTTTTTTTTCGGAAATATTTTAACTCAGGTAGCATAGCTAAGGAACTCACTTATGAGCATGTCTTTTGAATTGACGATGCTGACAAGCACTTCTTTCTTTCTGACATTACTTAGAGGTCATTCCGAAATGAATAGGCAAGCTTATTGAAGCAAAAATAGTCCAACAAAGGAGTTCAACTTTCGGAGCTAACAAACTGTCACATGAAAAATGAATCACTTTGTCGGTGTCGTGAAGAAATACTTAATTATAACTCAGAGCCGGACGCTATTTGGCATGATCAGCATAGCTATTAACAGTTGTCATCAGAAAATGTAACACTTTGAAAAGTAACATAGCATCTTTATTTTCAGACAATATACGACTTGGTGCAGAGAAATGATATTCATTTCAGATACGTTTAAGTGATTTTTTTTAAAAGAGCCTTTGTTCAGTATTGCAAGAAGAGAGTTTTTAAAGAGTACAATAGCAATGGACAATAACTGAGTTCTTTAAAAAAAACTATTATTTGCGAGGCTATCAACAAACAGAACACTTCAGGAAGTCATTCATAAATCACTCTATTTCAGACCAAATGGTTTTAGTCGTTTTAAACCTTTTTATGCAGTTGAAATAACGTAGCTTTACGTCTCTGATTTGCAGGATAAAAAGCTAAGTGTAAAAATGATTCCAAACTTGCCATTTTTTGCCAAAAATATTTTAGGTCTGCAAATGAATACCATCCGTAATTGGCTACTACTGACATTACGCCTAGTTTAGCATAACTTGTAACACTTGTTGCATGACTTGTAAAGTCAGCTGTTTTTTTTTTCTGTCAGTCTTTTATTTGAGTGGGCAAATCAGTAAACTTGTAAATTTTATTCAGGAAATTGTGAGTTTCTTTTAAGATTTAGCTGTTTGTAAAGATTTATGGCTGAAAACCATAAGTGCGTTGCTTTCTAACGCCAAACCACAATCATATTGCTACACTTTATTGCTCAAAGTAGAAAGACTTTCAGTATTTCTTTATGGGAAAAAAGTATGCTTTCAAATTGTCAAGGCGAAGAAAGTTCTGTTTGATTATCTTTTCTGCTAAGATACTTCTGCACGCCAATATTTGAGCCTTGTGGAGACAGGGAGGAGCCAATATCGACTTAAGTATCATTTACTCACTCTCGTGTTAGTTTTTATAAGCTTAACCAGGTGCAACGTGAATTGTCAACTTCTTTTTACAACTTTTGTGGTTTTTTTTTAAAATGAAATTTCAGTTTTTTTATAGCAAAGTTTACAGATTTACCAGTAGTATGCAAAAATCAAAAGTTGCATTTCAGTTTCTTTTCGCGGGCCTTAATTATAACCTTGAATCCCTGTGTAAAATTACCGACGTATAAACCGTTCTTTGTGGGTCGGGAAGTTCTTTAAGGCCTAATGGACCTTGCAGACTGGCGTCGAGAAACCAACGCTGTGCCTTTAATTTTGCAGAACCATTTCTTGTGACTGTCTAACCTGTCTCAGGCGTTCACTTTGTAAAACGAAGCACGAAAGTAAACATTGAAATAGCAGCCGCGGAGTGAAAAAGAGGGGGAGGGTTGGGTCTTAGTCGAGCGAACCCAACCCGAACCAAGCCTCCCTCGCTTTTTCTCTCCGCTGCGATTATCGCACTTCGTTTTACTAACTAAACACCCGTGACCGTCGAGCCCGGCCAGGGGCCCAAGAGTGAATTATTCGTTTGTTGGATTTCGACAGTAACCAGTAAGTATTTAACGCCTGGCGTCAATTGGGGGAAGGGGGAAGGGGGAAGGGGGAAGGGGGAAGGGGGAAGGGGGAGGGATGATATGGGTTTCTGTAGGAAAGGAGGAGAGATCAGTCGCCTCTAACAGACTTTGGAGCGGGAAAATTTTTAGCCAATGACGGGGGGGGGGGGGGTGGGGGGGAGAGAGAGAGAGAGAGGAGAAAACTGTTGTGGTTAATATTACAAAAAAAAGAAAAAATGAGAAAACTTTAACATTATGTTTAATGGTTCGTGGAGATTGATGGTCATATGCAATGCTCATTCCTGGCAAAAACAGAAACCATAGGCGCCTCTTATCGCTGTTATCGACCAAAGAAACCAATGAATTGTTCAAATCAATGATAAAAGCATGAAACTTTCCACAACACTTATGACCCTAAGACTAACATTTTCTGATATAAGGCCAATCCAAATTAGCTTCTGGTGACAAAAACAACGCATGTCAGAAATTCACTCACATGGAAACGAGGCTAAGAATAAAGAGTCCTCTTTAACAACATTGCTTGGGTAAATTTGCCACAAAAGCCTTCAATAATAACAACCAAGTCATTTTCTGTCCATTCGTATTCATCTTATGCCACTAAATTATATCTGGTGTGATTTTTTTCCCTTTGGAAGACTTCAGTTGAATGACCTCACTTATGTCGTTTGAGGATGCAGGCCATCGACTCCATTTTGCCCTCCAGTTAGCTTTCAACTTTCCCGCGAAAATAAACCAAAATGGCGGCGTCAGGCTGCGAGGAGCTTGGATCCGACACGCGTACTTTGCATTGTGGGTAGATAATAACAGCGGTTCGATATAACGAAGAAAGGACAGCAAGTAAAGCGAAATGTACACCAGGTAATATCGTTTGTACACCATATAATGCGTAAACTACCCTATACAATGACAAAACAGTGCTTATAGAATGACAAAATGTAGTTATAATGGAAAAATCACTACATATAATGACACAAGCACCACATATGGTAGCAAAACCATAGCATATAACGACAAACGTACTGCATATAACGACAAAAGCACAGCTTATAACATCATAAATAGCACATATAACGAGAGGAGTACCGCATCTAATAAGAAAAGCACTGCATATAATGGGAACTGAACTGCATATAATAAAGCAAATTGACTTAGACAGTCCTGGCGTTCCATATAATGTCATACAGATCAATCAGCGGTCATTTACCCCGAGTGATAGTAATTTAAACCGTAATTTGAAAGCTTTAACGGTTTGGGAACCGCGATATCCGAATAAAGTCTCATCCAAAGACTCTCAGCAAAGCTTAAGGGTGAAATTGGCATTCTTTAATTCCATTTCATTACACATGACCCTGGAATGAGGAACACAAGCGTGAAGTAACAACGTAGCCCGTGATGCACGTGGAGT